CAGATAATGTGTATTTATAAATTTTGGTCGAATAGGAAACAGCATCGAATTCTGTGGTACTGACAGTTAAGACGACCAATAGGATGTGACCAATAATTCTCTTAGGATATTGGATAAATATCCTAGCAGTCCCCACTAACGATAGAACTGAGGACGATAACAATCAATTCTGCGAGAGGTTACAGGCAGTCGTAGAGAAATCCCCAGCAAAGGATTTGATTATTCTAATGGTGGATCTAAACACCAAGGTTTTGAATGATTCATCCATTGAACATGAAGACATCACGGGGCGATATAAACTGAGAGAAAGGAACGAAAAGGGTGAGAGATTCGCAAACCTATGTGTCTTTAACAAACTGGTAATAAGACGCACCATATTGCCACATAAGCGCATATGCAAGCCCACATGGGTTTCACTGGATCACACTACACAGAACAAAATCGACCATAACTGCACCAATAAAAAGCTTGGAAGGACCATGGAGGATGTAAGAAGTGAGAGAGGAGCTGATATAGCTTCAGACTATCACTCTGTGGTTTCCAAAAATGGAACTCAAGCCATAGCATCATTGAGAAAGTGGACAAATATCATCGCAAAAGTTCAATATGGAGTTTTCTTGGGATACTGACGAACTCGACGAGTTCGAAATAGCTCTTGGCAACACGTTTCAGGCCTTTCATGATCTACTCAATGAAGAAGGAACAACCACGAAGAAGAACTGGAAAGAAATCAAAAAAGTAGTGACATCAACAAGTTGCGAGGTTGTGGGCATCAAGAAGCACTATTACAAGGAATGGATCGCTGTTGATACTCTGGATAAGATTCAAGAAAGCGAGCAATTAATATCAGCCGAACAAGAGCAGAGAAATCCAAGGCACAGGCTGAATACACGGGGGCAAATACGCAAGTGGAGAGAAGTATCAAAGCTGATAAACGAAAATACGTGGAAGATCTAGCAATGATAGCAGAAAAAGCTGCAACAGAAGGAAACATGAGACAAATATACGATACAACGAAGGAGCCAGCCGGAAAATATCGTCAACCAGAATGACCAGTGATAAACAAAGAAGACAAATCAATCATTGACACTGAAGAACAGCAAAACAGGTGCGTAGAACAGTTTGAAGAACTCTTGAATGTAACAGCCCCACTGAACCCACCCAAGATTGAAGCAGCACCAACAGACCTCCCAGTTGGTGTTGACCAACCAACCATTAAAGAGATCAGTATGGCCATCACAAAAATCAATAGCGATAAAGCGGAAGGACCAGACAACATCAGCTGAGGCACTGAAAGCAGATGTAGCAGTAACTGCAAAGATGCTACAAACCCTTTTCAGAAAGATTTGGAAGAAAGAACAAGCACTAACAGACTGGAAAGAAGGATATCTCATCAAGACACCAGTAAAAGATCTCAGGAAGAGTGAGAACTTTGGAGACACAATCTACTCTCAATACCAGGAAACTTCTTCAGTAGTTTTTAAATCGAGTAAATGATTCCGTCGATATCCAACACCAAAATCGGCAGACAGGATTCCGATCATGTATCAACCACATTGCGATATTACGGATCATTGTAGAAGAAGTAACTGAATGGAATTCACCACCATACATCAACTACCTTGACTACAAGGAAGCATTGGACAATGTATACAGGAGGACACTATGGAGGCTTCGACATTATTGCCTGTCCTATCAGACAGGCAACATCATACGAAATTCTTATGATGGATTAAACTGCAAGATCGTGCATAGAGGATGACTCACAGGCTCGCTTCAAGTGAAGACCGGTGTCAGACACTGTTGCTCACCATCATCTTTCTTTTTCTCCTGGTGGTCGACTGGGTTTCGAAGACGTCAACATCTCAGGTGAAGCACAGAAGAGATTGGACAGGTTTGATACAGCTGGACGATCTGAACTTTGAAGATGGTCTAGCCCTTCTATTTCACGTATAACAAAATTCCGAAGATGGCCAGTAGAGCAGTAACCTCTGCTGCAGGAGGTCTCGCATACACAAAGGAAAAAGCAAAAGCTTCCAATACAACACAAAATGCACCAACAAAATCACACTTGACGGAGTAGCTTTGGAATAAGTAGAAACTTTTAAATACCTGGGAGGCACGATTGATAAGCAAGGTGGATCTAATGCATACGTAAAGACACAGATGAACAAAGCAAAGACAGTATTTCTGCAAGCTAACAACATCTGGAATTCAAAACTATTATCAACCAAATCCAAAGTTAGGATTTTTAATTAAACGTCAAGAAAGCTTTACTGTACGGAGCAAAAACTTGAAGAACCACAAAAGCGATCGTTAGGACGATACAGGTATTTTTAAACAGTCCTTTACGCAAGATACTGAGGATCCGTTTGCCAGACACCATCAGCAACAACCTACTGTGGTAGAAAACACCACAGATTCCATCTCAGGAAGAATGAGGAAAAATTGCTGGGGGTAGATAGGATACACTGAGGAAATCATCTAACTGCATCACGAGACAAGCCCTAACTTGGAATGTTCAAGTCCAAAAAAAAGAGGAAGACCAAAGAACACAATATGACGAGAATCGGAAGCACACATGAAAAGAACGAACAGCGATCAGATTGAACTAGAAAGGACAGAGTAGGTTGGAGAATACTGATCGGCGGCCTATGCTTTATTAGTGGGTAACATGTGTAACTAATTAAGTGAGTAGTTCTTGTAAATTCACACATTGTTGGCAATCAATGGAAACTTGAAAAAACAGAATAAATTCATTGTACTCTAAAAATCTGGTTGTTCCCACTTGATCAAGTAAACAGCTGTTATCAACGCATCGATTTACATGACATGTTGCAAAAAACACGAAATCTTATATCATGCAAAATGAAACATATCTTTGAACTCTTACCGAGTTTTTCTTCTGTTCTTCTTGTAATTTCTTGGACATATTAGCTTCTCGTGTTACAGCCTGAATAAAATAATGAAAAAAAACACAATGATTATTTATTATCTCTCAGTCAATGTATTCATCAATTCAGTGTTTTTCACTTTAGAACTTACAGAACAAAATCGTCTTTTGTATATTTGAGTGTTAAATGTGTGTTGCCGGTTCATCATGTCAATAAAAATAGGGATCATTTATTCTGGTTCGCGCCATACCCGTTAATTTGTTATTTTGCCTACTAGACTATCCTGTGATTATTGAGAGAATTTCTACGAATGCCTATATCTTTGATACAACATGGTTTATTATCAATCATATTTTTGGAGTAACTGCATAAATCTACACAGAATAATAATAATAATAAATATACTCTGTTTTCAGTCATTTTCCAATTTGTGTATTCAAATAAGTGAGAATCGATTCATTCAACTAATAAATGATTCTGTCACCAAACAAACACAACCGATTTGTCTTTCGACTATTCGATATTCAGCTGTTGCGCTACTCGGTAAATAGCCTTATTCACCAGTCATAATATGAAGTCTTAATTAAAATTACAATAGAGAATAATTTTATTGTCTTCATCCAATAATAATTTAAGTGTCGTACAATATGGCATTCGTTGCACGGAATTTTCTTTCTTACAGGTTTCCATGTGACAAGGCAAATGAAAAAACTGACAACCAATAACCTCAGACAAATATAAATTAAGAAATTAAGTAAACTTATTATCTGCAAGTTGAATGAAGTGTCAAATTTTATTGAATCTAATGAGAATCTATAGAGCTTCCTAGCGACAATACTTTCATCATCTGACTTTTCAGAAGTTGACCTTCGAAAAAGGGGATACACTTATTGACTTAAAATAGTTCTTTTTGGTGAAGACGTTGACATAATGTAATATTCTCACCAGCTCAAACAACAATGGAAACATTTTTGGTGTATGACCCTTTCCCTCCAAATAAAAAATGTTCCTTCACGACTGAATTGCGTAGACACCTGAACTAGTGACACGGAGTGAAGAAGTTTTGGTATGTTGACCGCTTCACTTATTTTGGGAGTCTCATCAGTTCTGATCACCTGGTGTCTGACTAAATCTCCGCATGGATACAGAAGGCTCGACCAAAGGACAAGATTACTGAGCATCAACTCTCTCCACTTTAATCCATGGGTGCGAAATATGGCCATTAAGAATAGAGGATATTCATAGGTTACTAGTATTCGATCATAAGCGTCTTCGAAGCATTGCTGGTATATCTTGGGACCATCAAGTTGGTAATGCTGGGCTTAGGTTAAGGGTATCAGATAAGGATGGCAAATTAAGTGATGAAGCATTGAATCTTCATTAGTTGAGGTGGTTGGGACAGGTGTTAGGTGTGCCTGACCACTGGCTATCTCGACGAGCGACGTTTTCTGATGTATGAGTTAGCTGATAGAAAGCTAAGGGTGGCCAAAGCAAAACATGGCACAAATTTATCTAGTCACTGACTATCGACTGAGTCGTGTTGGTAGATGTAGACTACCTGATCGGGGTCTGCGAGACAATCATAACCAGTAGTTGGAGACTTTGAATGAAGTGGCTCAAAATCGCTTGCAGCGGCGCAGATGCATCCATTCTTTGTATTCTCCAAATTCTAGTCTTCTGAATTCCTCATGACTATTTTTCTCTTTTTGAATTTATTTCACTGGATTACACTTCTCGAATCACACATTTGATCCCTAATCTTTTCCATTACCGCCAATGTGGCTACAAACTTTATCACTATGGGATCTGAACTGACACTCGCATCCTTGAGCTAATGTGGTAAGGCAACTTGAACTGACACAAGTACGTACCAAGTTCTACGTTGTTACTGACTGACTGAAATAAAGGAAAGTAGAATATTGGAACCATCTGGTTAGTTGCATTAAATTAGTCCATTTATGGTAATAATGAGAATTTAGATCGCTATCAGAGTTTCCAAACTAAACCGAATGACCATTTTAGAACCCATAATTTCCCAGCACCTTAATACAAACTATTGATAGTGCTAACAATAAGTTGACATTTTCACAAACTAATGCCACTTACTTTATTAAGTCGTACAGCTTGAGTTTTATGTTGCCTTCGTAAAGTTTCTAATTCCAATTTGCAGTCTGTTAATTCTCTATTCAACTTTTTAATCAAACTGTTTGCGTCAGCCAACGCTATTTTATTTGACTCCCATGTTTTAATAAAAGTTGATGACAATTTGTAGCTTAAGTTGGGCTTTTTCGACAAACAGGTTGATGAAATATGATCTAATTTTGGCTGACATAATGATGTTGATTTGTAGTTGACAGTTCTCACTAATAAACATAAGATAATAGATAAAACATATATTAATAAAAAAACACTGATAGAAATTTGAAGACACCAGAGGTTGAAAACTTAATGAGAATTAAACGGCCACGCAAAAATTTTGCCTCACTATTGATCAGTCTATATCCGAAACCTTAATCAAAATTAAACAAAGCTTTTCCAAGTTTTCTGCAACTTAAGTATATTTAGACTACCGAGTGAAATATCCAGCTATACATTATTTCAACTTTATCCAATTTGAATTATGATACTGCTTACATTAAGATAGCTAAACACTTTTGAGAAATTTGATCATACTGGTTATAGCAATCTAATGTATGTGAGTTGTATGATGAGCTTGTTTTTAGCGAGTTGGCTTTTTGCTGGACTGAACCATGTTGGTAGGTGTCGATTACCTGGTTGGGGCCCGCAGAACGATAGTAATCGACATGGCCCAAAACTATTTGCAATCGCGCAGGTGCATTCATTCTTTGTGTTCTTTGAAATCCTAGTCTGAATTCCTCATCACCTTTATCTTTTTCTTTTAAGTTTATTTCAATAGATTCTACTTCTTGAATAATATCTTCTAATCCTAATCTCTTCAAATACTGGTAATACTTCTACTACTATGGTATTTGAATCGACAATTGCATCTCTGTTCTAATGAAGTAAGGCAACTTGAACTGATGTACGTACGTACGAAGTTCTATGTTGTTGTTGATTGAATGAGTTTCAAATCAATGGACCTGCTATACTGCGTTCACTGTAAAGCCTGAAATTCAGTCAACTAAACACGAGAAGATATTCACAAATGTGCGCTAGCCGAAGTTCGCTTACTATATCAGCACAAATAAATAACATTAGTACCAATAACATTTAGACAGACTAAACATTGGGGATATGGCTGAGAAGACGGAGTGAAAAGGTGTGAATGAAGGATAACGTAGCCAACTACGTTAAGCAACAAAAACAATCTACACCACTGTGGCTGATTCTTAGCCATGTCATCCAACATCTCCAACTACTCATCACGGTTAACGATTAAGCACCAACACCGACACACGAATTGCTTGGTTGTGTCAAACTGGAATAACACAAGCTGTCCAAAACAACGCACGCCAGTTGTCAATAGTTCTCCAGCCTATAGCAAACAAGCCTCAAATCGAGATCCACTCAACTTAAACAATAAACGTATGAAATATTTTCTATGATCAGAAGTTAGTATTTTCAGCGGTTGATAGCAGTCAGCGAGGTGCTGCCAGAACTAGTTTATATTTAACAATTACTTTACAGCATGGCGTATTTACAGTTTTGAAGAAATTCATGCAAGTTGTGACAGTCTAATTCTAATTTCAACTTAAGATAGAATTACTTATATCTTGTATACACTAGTACAGAGCCTAAGTTAATAAATGAGATGATCTGACAATGATCATTGGACTGGGAAGTCACAGAAATCGGTCCGGATTAAACATAGAATAATGGTTCTAAACAACTTTTCTGACCATCATATCAGATTATATGAGGGATTCTAGTGATTTATCTTAGGCTTTAGCACTCACTTTTAGTGTTATAAGTAATAAACTTCAATAAAAATTACGAGAAAGGAATGGAGTTCGCTTGTCACAGCTTTTTTTTCAGCAAACTTAAACTCAGACTTACTATTGTCAGTTTTGACAATTTTAAAGCCAACATACAACACGTGTCCCTTCGAAAAGTAGCACTGTGGCATTATGCGCACTGCAGTATATGTAGTTGCATACATTTCTGTAAATTTGGCAGTACATGAGAACCGTTTCTGTATCGTTATATTCATATGTTATGCACTACAAACAAGTCTGAATTCCTCATATACCCTCATAAAGATCTAAGGACACTAGTCAACCTTACTCCGAATCCCATAAATTTATCATCGTATTCTTGTCCAAACACAAAAGTACAAGGAAGTTACAGTCTCATTTATATTTTCAAAATCAATAACTAGAACATGGAAAAAACAGCAACGTACATGATTTGACACTCATACTATCTCCTTCTCGTTGATGGTATCTTCGTTCCAGAGCTTGAAGACCCTTCAGTTCTTCGTACTCAGCGTTTGTGGACAATGAGTCCGTTATGTCTGTATCACTGCCATCCAGTGTAACTTGATGATTTGACGGTAAGTTACACATCTGCGGATGCCAATGCAATACAAAAGGATATAAAAACGAACACTAATTAACTAAAAGCGACAGGACTTCGGAAAATAAGATAGAAACAGAGCAAACATGCCAAGTCGCATTTTCCGTCGGCAGCGAAGAAATAATGCGATGTTTCTATGTTCGGTTACTTTACATATCACATTTAAAATCCTTTCAAGAAACAATCTTATTCACGTCTGTTAACACAATCTAGTCCAATAAACTGGTGTCCCAACGATATCTCACATTTATACCACCCACCTTAGCATAACGCGCTTCTGTAACAATAGCAACGTCTGGTTGATACTAGTCTTATATCAAATATCCAATATTCAATCTCGTATCTTTTTCACGAGCTTGTGTTAACCAATAGATTTTTGTGTGTTTAATTCTCGTTCTTTCAGTACAGTTCCAAGTATTTGGTAGTGTCCAATAAATGCTAGTCGGTCTACCGTATTACAATTGATAAAAAAGACGAAGTCTGCACAAACTATTTTTATTACTACGTATACTTTCAAAGGTAATGAATGGACAGGTGAATGAGCGAGTAAGAGAGTACATGGATAAGGAAAACGTCCTCAATTAATTCCGAAACAGGTTTGGTAAACGAAATCCAAGAGCATCCAATCATTTCGTAGCATGGAACTGCTGGACAACGTGTTCAGCCAAAAAAGTAACGGTTTATATAATATTCCTTGATTTTACAGAAGATTTCGACAAGGTAAATCACTTACTCCTGACCGCGAAATTTTTAAAACGGGTTTTGCTGATCCACAACTTCCTCTGCTCAGAAACTATCTTGAGAACAGAAAGTTACGTACCAAGGTAAATCGAGTACATAAATGCTAGTAAGTCTCAGCATTAGAAGTTTCATGGAGGTATATTTTAAGTTCACTCCTCTTTCTGATACTCATTATTGACATGTTAGGTAAATTAGCTTGGCGGCACTTATCTACGTAGACGCTGTATAGATTTGGAGACCCATGAACAGAGTAGATTGTGAAGATGTGCTTCACTGATCCCCATTTATCTTGGCTCAGAAACTACATTCAGGAAATCAATTCCGAACTATACAGAAATCAGGTGCATACTGTCGAAGGATCATCATGAAATCAGTAAAGATCACTTTAATTTGTTGAAAATTTGAACAACCAACTAGAGAATGGTGGTCATGTGCAAACTCAGGAGTTAAATGTAAACCTGCTGTTCATTTCGCGTTCCGACTGAATAACTGAATTTTTCGAAGACAATTCAAGTTTCTAACTGGGTCTGAACTTGGTCCCTTAGAGGCATTCAAAGCACTCGTTTAAGTAGTATTAACAAACATTGGTGTCTCTCAATAAGTCGGCAACTGAAGTACAACGACTGAGTGAAAAAAGATTAAAACGGCCAGTGAGAAACTACGCATTAGCATCAAAGGGATCATAGCAAAGTTTATAAGCAGAATGGATGATTATAATGTTATGATAATTAACAATATTTTAGACTTAGCAAATTTTCAACCGCAAAATGTATTGGCCTTACACCCAAGCAAAGATGAAGAGGTTTCGTCACACATTCCCAAGAAAAGCGTACAAAGTTGATCTTTTAGGTGTTTCCCTGACGGTCACTGGGATTTTCTGATGGGTAACAATGAAAGCCTTTCGTCGAACTTTCTTGTTGGGTTTTCCAGGAGTGCTAAATATATTATGTACACAGATAAGGCCAGGCTACTTCATTTATCCATGGCCTAAAACAGCTGTAAATCTAAAAACCTGATATAGTGAGACAACCAGGACTGACCTTACGAGGAGGCCATTTGAAGACTATTAGGAACACACGGTTATTTTAAAATAAATATTATTGTTATTAAAATATGCTAAAGGGCGAATACATATCATTCGTCGACAGATGGCCTCCTTTTATGAAAAGACGGAATATTTACAAGCAAAGATGAGTATTTATACATATTATTCGGCAGTCAAACAGACCGTTTTCTATTCTTGCTGTCTCTTTCAAACAGCCAGTCTTGGGGGTTGATGCGTGCCGTGACCAGGTCTACGATACTTCATCAACGTAATAAAATCATTCATCTCAAGTTTATGGTCGTGAATGCCCATCTAGTACTGTAGTGAAAGCTGTATTTTAATGTTCATTTACATCGTTGTGCATATTCGGGCTTAGTTTGGTAGCTCTCGCTTTCTAGGTATGATGAATTCTAAAATGTTTCACTTCGGAGAGGGTCACTTCAATAATTTTCTAACTAAATTGTCAGACTACTCTCTTATACGCCTTCCGTAGTTAACGACCATCTTTTATGCTTTCGAACATGTAAGTTGTCTGGGATGATTTATAGTTCACTGGGTTATCTGTATTTTAGCCTTCTCCGCTTCATTCCTCTTTGCTTCTACGATTCTCTTCATTGTCTGTTTGTTTACACGAATGTGTGAAATGAATTCACCCGCAGATAAAGTGTTTGTTTTTTAATAAAAGCTGTCACTGAACATCATGCCTTCCTGTTTAATAATAACAAGATCGAATTCTACTTTTTCACCCACTATTATTATTACCTAATGGTATTCAACCCAAATCACCTTAATTTTTATTACTTCTTTCCGTCTGACCTCTTTGTAAACTTATCTACTTATCAACTTCCTTAACTGGTCACAGGATGTCACAAATACGCACTACTCGATAGCACCACAGCTTAATAGTAACCCCAAAGTAGAGCTAATCATATCGGATAAAAACATATGATAATAATAATAATAATTTACTCTCAAGTAACAAACATGTTACAAGAGGCATGCCAATTTACAGCACGATCAGAATGTTAAGATTGGCAACATATTTCTTTTAAAATGGTGTACAGTTACTGAAATATTTCACATATTACATTGGCTCCATTTAGATGGCTAAAAGTTTTCACATAAAATTCAACATAATTTTGCAGACTCTAAAATGTAGAACGCGAATAACTGTCGCGAGTTACGACGGTTGCGTTACGACGAGCTTCTTAATGACTGAAACAATGCAAGGTAGAGCCAGGTCTGCATATAACAAGAATTGATGAGGTACATGAGCTAAGATGTGGTAATAAATTCACAGGCTCCTGGGTGAATCAGCCAAGTCTTCGGCAGATATCCAGACTAATATATAAGGATTGAAATAAAATGCTGAAAAAAGAGGAATAAAGAGAACGGGGAGATGAGCAGAATAGGAAATATTCTTGATTAAAGACAAACAACGACTCAACACACGTTTTTGGACAAAACAAAGGTATGTTAACTCAGACGTTTTTATATTAAAACAGTAACTGTATACCTGCATTTACGGTAGTAAGATAACGAATGAGGATTTGGTCTTATGAATAAAGGAAATTCAGCATAACCACATTGTTAGCAACAATGTTGATTTACAGAATATAATAATGAGTCTCAGTGATCTTATTCCTTTGTGTTATTTTATTTATTCTTTTTCTTTTTAAGTCTGTGGCTCAAGAAGTTATGAATGAGCTCTTTTCCTGTATAATTGTCCAGATCTTCTTGTAACAGGATTTCTTGGTAGGAAGTAAAAACCATATATTTGAATATGGGCCGATGTAACGGATTTTATGCGATCTAAGCCGACTAGTTACCGCGCGCATCACACATTACAGTGCATCCAAAAATGGACTCACTGTCTGCAGATAGGTGTGAGTCCAATAAATAATAATGTCAGAGTCAGTATAGATCAGTAACAAAACCATTTTTTGAGAATTTGATCACTACTACAGCTTATTAAGTGTACGAAATTTATTTATGTTGACCTCCATCTTCTACTGGTGTCCTTTTGTTCTGTTTATGAAATCTAACACATTACAATCAACCAAATACCTTCCATATAAATCAATAATTAAGGGTTATAATAACACCAGTGGCTTAGAATGAGGGCTTATATAACTTTAAGTAACTGTCAAATCCACAAAAATTTGAACACCCGAGTGGACAACCTAAAAAATGTGATATCAAAGATCTGGAATCGTACCTTAACATCAGGAAACAATCGGAGAAACTAAAAGCGGGAAAATAGTAGTAAATATTCGGAAACTTGATCTACTTCTTCTTTGTCAAAATTTTTAGTCTCGAGCGACAGGGTTGTAAAAAATTCAGACCGTCACTCGAAAGCATTCCTCGGACTGGTGTCCATAGTTCGGATCACTCAACTCAAGCACCACTAGGTCTCAAACAGAGGAAGCAAGACGTCATTCCTCCGAATCCAATTCCTAAAAAGACCAGTAGGCAATATAAGAATAAGAGAAAAAGGCTTCCTAGGGTTCAGTCAACACAGTGTGTCGTAAAATAATCGCATAAGGATGACTGTATCGCCTGCTCGACTCCAGTCAAAATCAGTGATTCTGCTTTTGAATGCGATTTCTGTAGTAAATAATTCCACTGTCACTGCGACACTGCAGTACCTAAAGAATACTATGGATTCATAATGAGCCACCCGTGTCCGTGGTTCTGGGTATATCTGCCCACTGTGTAGAGTATCTGAGGCACTGGTGAAACCACAGGCTACATCCAAAATCAGCCTAAAACGTCCCAGCGGACATACCTAAATCGCCTGGCATTGAACGGTGAAGCAGGCTACCAAGGCACTCAAAACCCTGACCAACACACCGACAGAACTTTAGGTTCTTGTTAATCCTTCAGTATCTGTTAACAGTAAGGAACAGTGAGTGAATGTAAAGAGGGGAATGGCAACACCTCAACTCACAAACGGCTCTTTCCTTATTTGTACTCTACTATTGAAAATGTGGCTGTTTTATACTGTTTCTGTCAGTGACATGGTGTTAATATGCTATTAGAAACTGACTCTTATACTTAATTTAACTGCTATAACTTTTGCAGTAATTGTGAAAGCATTTGTGACAATTTAATCTAGCCTGTAAATTGGCGTGAATCTTGTAACGCAGTTATTTGAGAATAAATATATTATTATTATTACCACTGAAGGACAGGGACGATAGATTAAATTCACTTATTTTTTTAATGTCCCAGTGTCGGAAGGCAGCTAACTAGAAGGTATTTCCGCCTTTGACAAAGAACAGTGGGATAAATGTAAGTTTTAGAGTGGATTCTGAATTCTGAAAAACAGTTCTAGAAGTTTAGATACGCGACTTGACACGTTAATCCAATAAGAAAGCAATTTATCTGGTTAAGAAACAATTCTACTATTATTTACAACTCATAGATCATTACCGAAACAATACTGAA